GGGGGGGGGTGGCGTTTGAGGGAGGCAGGTGGAGAACGAGCGGCGTCCCCGCCCGAGGGCAAAGACGCCAACGCCATGCGCACCTCACGATCCGCCCGCCCGAGGGCAGACGCCAATGCCATGCGCACCTCACGATCCCCCCGCCCGAGGGCAGACGGCAACGCCATGCGCACCTCACGATCCGCCCGCCCGAGGGCAGACGGCAACGCCCTGCGCACCTCACAATCCCCCCGCCTGAGGGCAAAGACGCCAACGTGCGCACCTCACGATCCGCCCGCCCGAGGGCAGACGGCAACGCCGTGCGCACCTCACGATCCGCCCCACACGGGGCCTAGGCACCCACCCCGCCAAGCTACCCCGCCCAGGCGGGCGACATACTGGCCAGCGCCCCCATGCCGCAGTGGCCACCCGGCCTCCTGCCCCCACCCTGGATGCCCCCACCCGAGGCTCCCTCACGCCGTCCTCCCCCGCCCCTGAACACCGTCGACCTGGCTTCCTTCCTCCGGCGCTCTGGGACCACGACTCAGGGTCCCGATACCCAGCCACGCTCCTCCCGGGTCTGCCACCCACGGGCCGCCACCCCGGGCTGCTCACGCCCCTCCCCCGCCTTCCTGACCTTGATTCTGACACCCTGGGACCCGCCATCTGCAGCCCCTCACCTCAAGCCCCTCCCCCCACTCCGGCACCCCAGGTTCCACCCCGGAGCCCACTTACCCTGCCTCCCATACCCAGCTCACCACCCGAGGCCCGCCACCTCCACCCGCTCACCCCGGGCCCGGCGCCCGGAGCACAGCCACCCCGAGCCCCGCCAACCCCAGGTCCCTCACCGCACCCCGGGCCCCGCCACCCCAGACCCCTCACCGCGGCTCCAGCACCTTGAGCTTTGCCACCTCAGGCCCCTCACCGCGGCTCCAGCACCCCGGTTCCAGCACCCTGAGCTCCGCCACCCCAGGCGCTTCACCCCGGCCCCACTCACCCACTGAGACCCTGTGGACACCCACAATCCCGGGACGAGCCGCACCAGACTGCCGCACCTCCGACCCGAGACAAAGTGAGGGGGATGTGCGGATCCGCGTGCAGATATACGTTCGGATCAACGTGCGGATTAACGTGGGGACTGACGTGCCTCGGCCACGTGGCCCCGCCCACAGACGCCCCGCCCAGTCCACGTGCGGAGGGAGCTTTCCCAGGAGCCTCTGCGGAGGGAGCCGTTGGTCCGGAAGTCACGTGAGGTTAGGGGGGGGCACACGTGAGCAGGCGCATGTCGTCATGGGGGGGGGCGTGCACGTGAGCAGTCGTCATGGCACCGGGACCTGCGCAGTGAGGGCTCGCTGGGCAAGGCCCGCACCTATTGGCCCGCATCCACCGCGCTCTCAAGATGGCCTGAC